TTAAATACCTTCTTCTATGTGTTCTTCTATTTAGTTCTGCACTGCGCAAACATGAATACAGACATACAGCGCTCACTTCTTCATCAGTAGTATCATCATTATATGATGACTCCACTGTGGAAATTGGTATGGATGATGAACGTCTATGGAATGGTAGAGATTCTTGATTAGGGATGTAACTGTTTATAGGTTTCCCCTCATTAGGGTAGGGATATGTAATTCTGACTGTGATAGTGAATATCCAATGCGATGCACAAAATGATCTCTTTCACTTGTGATGTTACAGCACATTAATGTGCTTTGAAATAAATATCGCTTTCGTGTATGGGTGATTATCTCTCTCCCACTTTTCTTGGGCCCAGCGCCAACTCGTTTTTTTCTATTTTTTTTCTTTCGACTAGCGAACAAGGCTGACAAGACTAGTCGTTTTGTATCACGTTGTTCTAGCGCGGCCAGTTGTTGTAGCGGGACCGTCTTCAGCGCTGCAACGAAGAGCTTTCCGTAGTGTTTTCTTGTAGAATGAAATCAAATGAATTCCTATGATACTATCAGATCAACAAGAGGTGGAGATCGAGGTTGTAGCGCGCCAAACGTAGCCGCGCTGACACGCAGGGCAGCGCGTGCGTGTGATGATCGCACGGGGGGGGGGGTCGGTTATTTGCAACGATAGGAATGGGGGGGGTCGTATTTGGTCTGAGAAAAATTTTTTTTGGTAGTTGATTTCTCTTGTTTCACGGACGGCTACAAAGGGGGGGGGGGTCGTATTTGGCCGTTGTTGAGAGAGGGACTGCCAAAGAGATCCTACTATTTCTGATAGCTGAAAATGATAGCTAAATCCTGACCACCCACCCCCCCCCACTCGACAGCAAAATTTTGGGGAAAAACCATAAGTTTTTCTTAAAAAGTGGTAGGAGTTAAGATGGAAATCTGAGAAATTCTCCTGTTTCACAGTGGGGGTATTCCTCCCCCCCCCCCGCTCGACGGAAAGTCCTTGGATGAGAAACTGGAATTTTTTGGGAAAACATGATAGGAAATTGGAAAAATCTAGGGAAGTAGGCAGCATGGGGAGGGGGGGGGGGTCGTACTCGAGAATAGAGTCAGGGGGTCGTATTGTGATCACAACGCGATGGCGTGCCCCTGCTGACACGTCGCATCATCCGCAGGAACAAGACTTGTTCTCGAGGCATTGCACGAATCAGAGGAATAATCTGGAAAAGACTTGGTTACCGTCACTGTCCGTACCATGCTGATGCGATGGTGTCTTACACATATGCACCCTCCCTTCACCACATAATATCACGTTAGCATAAACGTAGAAACGAACTGATTGACATCGTATAATATAGGTTGGAAGGAAAGTCTTGTCACTGTTGTGACTTTTTTCTCTTTTTATTTTCTAACTCTATACAGTGGGAATTAGTCAACAATATACTCGTCATAGTTAGCCACTACAGTGCTCCACCCAATGGACAGGTAAGCATTCCCCTCCTCCCAGAACTGAGAAGGCTGCGAGTAGAGTAAGTCAGCGCCCTCTCGACTGATGTCATCAAATTGCTGAAAGTTTTCTTAGCTAAGAAAGCCTTAAGGAGGCGGAGCAGGTAGCAGTCGTAGGGGACTACGTCAGGAGAATATTATGAGCGGGGACTGGTCTTCCAGCCTTGCTCCTCAATTATTTGGTAGGTCTTCATAGCAGGTATGGGGTCTCGTGTACTACGAACGAGGTGACCCGAAGCTAGTCTCGGTCATTTTTCTCCAACAATTTTCACTCGTTTCGGGAGCTGAGCGACACAAATGGTGGCGGTGATCGTGTGTTCTTACAGGGCAGCTCGTTCTGCAGCATCCCTCTCGCGTCCCAGGAGCAGCACAGGAGAACCTTCTCGGAATACATGCCCGGTTTGGACTGCTAGAGAGGATCTTCTCTGTGAGAGAGACACACGGTACTGTGTGGGTTGAAATCATAGAGGACCCATCTCTCATCCCCACTAAGCAGTCTCCCGGAAACTCCTTCTGACGAGGGCGGAAGGGGAGACTGACCAAGGGGTACCCGGGTGCACAGCGTGCCATCGGTCAAGGTATGAGTGATCCATCGAGCCAGTACTTTTTGGTAGTCAAGGGCTTACAGGCGGTGGACGACTGTCAGTTAGGTACATCCGAGTCTTGTCGCAAGACAAAACCTCGGTTGGGACGGCCCCGCGAAGTGGAAGACTCCACCGTTGCTTTCGAACGGGTGGAGTCTTCCAACTTCGCGGGGCCCGTCCCAACCGAGGTTTTTCTTCAAAGGGTGCGTGGTCTCCTTTCGGCGAAGCGGAATGCGAGCGAACCAGAGGTGGACAGTCATGATGGTAGTGGTGTGCTCCGCCAATGCACGGTTGATGTTGCAGATAGCTTCGCTGCTGCAACCGTGGGGCCACTGATAGAAGATGATGACCCGAAGAATGCCCCTGTGAAACTGACATCGTAATTTAAACCCAGGGAAGAGCAAGCGCCGTCACACGCTTCTTGCAGGAAAGCTCCCAGAGTGTCCTACAAGCATAGCATGTTACGTCATGTACGAGCATCGAGAATCAAAAACTGTAAGCTTTTCAAAAAACACTGACAGGACTTTCCTACCAACCTAATACTTCCCGGTTACACTATGCACTCGGTTTTCGCCCAGAATGAAAAAGCTGTCTGAAAGCGTATCTTTTCTGTACAACCCACAACCTGTAAGTTGCCGTTTGTAGTTTAGGAGCTGACGGTTTGCACAAATGCTTTTGAAGGCGCACCATGTCAAAAAAAATGGAAAATGCTGTAATTATAGATAGAGCAGTGATGGGAACTTATTCGCGTTAATCGAGCGAAAGCGGGATTTTTAGCGAAATCCTGGTAGGAAGCGTTCAGACTTTCGCGGTGGTCAGCGCCTCATAGACGCGCTCAACGCTGCCGTTTACTAACCGGCAGTTTTAGGCGAAGCTGTTAAACCCCTACGCTTATAGTTACGAACTCAGCCCCACTATTTTTCTCTTTAGTACTTAGAGATTTACTACTAGGAGACTATGGGTCTGGGCTATAGCCTTATCAACCTTTCAACTTCTCGTCTTTCAGTCACGTACCTCAAATATTTTTTTTCAACTAAATTTCTTGGGCAACAGACAACAAACAATCAAAATTAACAACATATAACAACATGAAAATACTCACAGTGGACCACAAAATGAATCAAAACTAACGAGTAAAGAACATAGATCCGGCAATCCATAAACAATAGTAAAGCGGAGGCAGTTTGATGAAGATGCTCCAACTTTTTTCAAGCATTTCTTTACCGTTTATTTGATGAGTTTCGCACTGGTCTTGCCTCAAGAGTTCTCTTTCCCTACTACTGGAGCTCAAACGGCCGCTTCTCTTTCTTGACACTTCTGAAATGTTAGCCTGTCTGAAAGAGTGTGATTTCGAAAGCCTTTTATGAATGTGTACAGACTTGTTATAGGAATGTCCATTACGAAAAAAGGTCTTTTGCGTGGCTTCACGCTGCATTTTTGAAGAATTGCAGTTGTCAGTGAAAATGAGGAAGATCAGGTTAAAGCGATCATTTAACTACTGGTTGGTTGTAAAGAACTGCACTTACATGAACGAATGAAAAGCACGGTAAAAAATTTCAGAGAAGCTGCTAATAAATTAGAAAAAGGAAATAGCTAGAAAAAGACTAGAAGAGGTTGAACTACTGCACATCAGGAGCAGACCACTCAGAAGCGACTCTGGAATAGAGAGTGAGCACGAGAAGCAGAGCGAAGAAGGGTGGGTTCGTGCGGCTAAAGAATGGCAAAGTAAACGGTTTTACTGAACGCGCACTGTGAATCCATCGTTGTCGTCAACTCCCGAGATTTTCTTCGCCTTTGTTCTTCATTTGATTCTTTTTCTTCTTTGCTTTTCGCTTACTACTTCCCTCTGCACCGGCCTTTTCTTAAACAACACAACGACATCAAATAATCAAGAAACTCGAATAAATTTCAAATGTACGCATGAGCCAACTGAATTGAAAGTATACTTGGGTAAGACCCTATGCTAAAATACGTAAAGCATAAGTTTCGTGATTGCTAGTCTGTATGCCTGTTGATTCCTAATTTGTGAAAATGAAGGCACTGGATGACATAATGTCCCATCTTATAGTGGACACCCACTCCGCTGAAAGGCACTGCGAGAAAAGCAGAGCAACGTGGGTCAGCAACTGTTTGAAACTGCCAGACATCGAAATAAACATAGATGACAGATTAAAAAGCGCCAAGGAAATGTACATAATCGATCGAGGATGATACAGTGAGGATATTTTTCTAAGCGCAAGGCCAAGAAGGAAATACCGCGGTTTGGCCAACGATAACTGCTGACTCTGGCAAAGTTCTGTTTCTTACGCTTGCTTTGACCAACAATGTAAACAAGTAAGTGGAACGCACCATCATCAGAACTGTCCGATTCTTCACGCTTTCTTTTCTTCGGCGACTTCTTCTCCGGGCTTTTCCCCTTGTTGTCTTCTTCCTCAGCATTCTTCTCAAGGTTTTCCCGTTGCGCCTATAATAGTGTACGGACGAGTGAAAGAATGAAGAGTGGATGTGTAGTGCCAGAAAAAGAATCAACTTACAATATCGACGCTCGCTTTTCCCATTTTCGCATTCGACAGTTTCTTCAACTTGGCAACGAAAAATCCGTCAATATTATGAACATGAGGGTAGTAACGCCTAGTGAGATTCAAAGAAGGATGGAATCGATACTCGCGGAACCTGTGAGAACCATCAATCAATTCCTGTCGATGAAGATTATTGAAGCTGTCTTACCGTGTGAATCCTTCAACACCAACTTCCAAGCCGCATGGAACCAGTTCACAATGCCTTTTTTGCAAAGCGAAATTCACAACGGCCTCATTTTCTTCAACCTTAAAAAAACAAATTTGCAGTGTAACCAGAACCTTCAGCAAAAGGTATAATACAAGACAACTACTATAGGCAATCAAGTCTATCAAAAGTACACCCTACTCCCAACTAAAGGTTCATTGTACTGTCTCAGAAATAAGTCGTTTTAATTACAAGAAAAAATAACACTGTTATCAAAAAAGCACTGCGAGAACTAAGCATCAACGACATGGTAAGCTGAACGAACCAAGACTGAGCAGGTTGAGTATACGACATAACCTCCATTTGGCGACTTTGCATCGACTGCGTCGAGAGCGGCGAGAATCAACTGCCGTTGCACGGTGTGCCTAAAATCATATCAGTAGAAATAACGGACCTGGGTATCAGCTAAAGGAAGTAGAACTTACTTTCGTTGAATATCCTGGCTGTCTTTGCTTGTCTTCACTGATTGATCTTTCCATATTACACCAGTTCCAGAACACGGAGCATCCAGGAGGACGCGATCAAATCCATTAGGGGCTAACTGAAAACAGAGGTTTTGATTACGCTTACAGTCGATAAAACAATGGAAAGGATTTCACTATGTTGTGTGACAAAACGGAAGTGGTGAGCAATCCTAGGGATCGCTAATTAGTATCAGAGTATCTGAGAAGATAAAACACTTACTTATACTTTCTTGGCGCTGGCGCTATATCTTTTTTCAAAGAAAACTAACAAAAAACTAAACTAAAGTAGAACGCATGGCGCACGTCAGATTAAGTACAGATAAGCAACTACGCGCCGGAGGTGGATGCACAGTTTAGGTGTAGTTTCGCAGCTGATGGTGGATCTGGGCAACTGAAGAAAGGAACGCACGCGAGCATAAGGCAGCGTTCAGACTTCGCGATGGCGGCGCTTCGATCGCGCGTTC